ACGACTGTTCGTTGCAAATTACTCTGTGATAAGCACTTTTCGTTCCTTCGCTCTATTTATAGAATTCGTTTAGTTTATGGAACTTGCTCGGGTATTTTTAGATCGCTCGCTTGCGTTTCTAATGATACGCTAGATACTTTTCTAAAAGCTGATTTTATTTTAGTACTATTTATAGTGTGTCGGTTGTTTTGTTGAGCCGAATGAAAAAACTAGAAAAAAAGCATTACCGATGCAACGTGCAATTATAATTTGTATGTGTTTGTGTTCCTCGATCGAACACAGATACAGCGGAAAAGCATTATTAATAGCTCCGATAAAAATGAGAACCATTATTTAAATAATGTAATTATTATATTTTTATTCATTTAGTAATAATACATTTACATAATAATAGGGACGAAGCGTTATGTTAATCTTTTAAATAAGCAGCACGTAAAAAGTTTTTACATACATGATACGTCCACAATTGCATATTTTGATATTTTTTTCATCCTAAATTACAAACTCGTTTTTTCTTCTTATAAATACATCCAAGTAAGTAATAAATACCGAACTTTCACTGTATAATAGATAAGCAATCTTTTTTCTGATTTCTGAACATTTTAAAGCCATTTACCATGTATCGTCGAAAGTAGAAATTTTTAATTAAAATTCCATGTTTTGTAGAACCGTTTAATTACGTAGTTGGCTATGTAGTTGCAAAAAATATATGAATAAAAGCCAACTGCCTCTCGGTATACAAAATTAATGAGTTTTTTAATTTATCACTTTGTTGTACTTCATTGAACTCTTGATAAAATAAATACTGAGCTTTGTATCACTTTGACGTAAATAAGGTATAAAAAGAAATAACGATTTTTTCATTTTCCGCGCAGATGGTAAAGTTATGCGAGTATTATTCGCGTTACCGTAATGTTATGCTGAGTGAATGAAATATAACGATTAAGCCGAATTTGCTGAATTCAAATTATGATTGCTTGTAATAAATTTCTTTTATGCCTAAAAAGTTGCTTACGCACATATTTAATCATCGGATGGTATTTGAAAATTGCGATCATAGATATAAAAACAATCGAATCCGCATAAAGTTTGCATAATAAAAAATAGGATAAAGTATTTACTTAGTAATGCAAGATTATTTTGATGAAGTAATTCCATAATATGATGCGAAAATGAGGATCATTGAGCAATCATAATTGAATAAATTAATAACAGAATTATTTATAAAAATGTTCTTATAATGTTTCTTATAATTCTTGCGTGATATACAGAAATTTCATTGAAAAGCACATGTCACTTGGTTTATGGTAAATAAATAAATTTAACGTTGCAATATTCATTACTTGTATCTGATCAACGAGTTTTTTTTTTTTTTTTTTTTTTTTTTTTTTTACTATGACAAAACGTTTGCCTTGTGCTCACTTTTTACTATATAATCGCATAGTTGATAACCTTTTCTAGTACAACCACTTGTACAACAAGTTATTTTACCTCATGTCCTTTCCATATTAATCACAAACACTTATTCTTAAAATAATATGACATATAACATTACACTAGCAATCCATTCTTCATCCCCAAGTCAAATATTTTCGAAATTAGTATGCCTTATGCCATTTCTCAATTATAACCAGGTAACAATCGTGTATCTATATATTTATTTCTGTATTTACGAAGTGATATAATATCCTTGATATATTAAATGCGTATGATTAATAATCTGTCGCCATATACTAGAAGAATGTTCGACCTAATATTACGAAATAGATGGAAAACAATCGCGATACGTACACTTATATAGAAATATTTTCAAAATGTTTAATCAAACATCCATGAAAGCCATAATAAGCCTTTATATATTCGAGCTAATGTGGAATACAAGACAGACATCTTAATCATTATTGATAATAAGCCTGTAAATGGGCTTATTGTTAATTTTAATTATAATATGGGAAAGTATATCGAAGTAAGTTTATGGTATTTTTAAGATATTGTGAACAGTTGAACGGGGTCTTGTTGTCATACAAAAATTGTTGAGAATACGTTTTATCACATGTGCTTGTGGAACAGAAACGGATCCAAATCTTTTTTCTAGATCTCTGTCGTGTGCTTCAGCGCTCCAATTATTAAACAACAAATATACGTTTGTCACTATTTAGATCGATTGGACCTCAGAAAAATTTTGCCTTACGTACTCAAACCAAGCTTAAACGAGACAGGCAACTCTAGCCTTAACTCTGTCCCAATAATCGGTAAAGCACGAGGATCAATATCTGCAGATCCAAGCGAATTGCCATTGAATCTCGGATGCGACCAACATCACATCCCGAATGCACAAGCTCGATGCGACCGAAGCCAGCAGGATCGGCAAGAAGCAGCCGGCAATGTAGAAAACTGCGCGCCCGTTTGCTTAGGCGCGCGCTCAATGCCAGGCGCGACGAGGAAAAGGAAAAACGCTGGTAAATTCGCAGGAGGGAAAAGAAAGAGGAGGGATAAGCGCGCGCTTCGGCTGCAGCGATCCGAGTGAAAGCACGCGGTCGCACGTGACCGCTTGCGACGACGAGGAATCCGAAAACTTCCGGAAGGTGCGCGTGCGCGGGACAAGTCCGCAGCCGGATTCCCGGTGTGTCGTCGCGGCGCGGCCTTGCGACTTCGATTCGCGCCGAAGGTGAATCGCCGCCGCCGTGGGCTGCGCGTCGTGCATGCATTATTCGCGCTAACGCCGATAATAATTTCGTTTCGTTGGGAGCCGATAATGATCGCCGATCCCCGCGCGAGCGTCCTCAGTGGCACGGATGCTGAATTTTGGCGGAAAGTCGCGCGGCTATTGCGGGACGTGGGGTCCGGGAAGAGAGGCAGTCCCGGCGAGGCATCGTCGCTCGCTCGTTATTTATCTTACCACTGAACTATAAACGTCAATTTTGTTCAACTTCGCGAGACTATGTAGTGATTAATTTTCGCTTCGTTATTAAGCGACCGGAAATGTAATTATACAACCAAGTTATTTCTTTGTTTGATTATACCGAAAAGTACGGGAGGTGCGATACGATGAAATAATAGTAAGAGCATTGGAGTGTTACGTAGATAGAATTGAAATTTTTTAAATTATACTTTAATCGCTTGCTTAAATGCCATTGCTGTCACCAATATACGCTTTTGCGACCCACTGCCAAATGTAATCATTGCTCATAATTTACGTAAAACGAGCAATGACGTTTCGACGATTCCTTTCAAATAACTCCGAGCATTACAAGTGCCATGTCTCGATGTATAATACATTGAAAGCAGAGAAATAATAATAATCATAATAAATAAATAAATGAAAAAAAGAAAGCCATCGATGGAAATGAAAATATTTCGGAATGAAATTTCTTTGGTCGCTTTTAACGCGATAACGCGCGCAATTATATTTACGCTTGGTTAAAAGTAATTTAAATATTGTCCTGCTTACCGATGGAATCCGACATTAAAATAACATTTCATACACTTGTATAAAATAATAATCGATATAATAGCATATTATTGCGAATTAGTGGCAAAAAGTTTGAATTTAGTGTAATATTAGGAATGGGAGATTTATTTATTTGAAAAGCATAGAATCTGTTAGTGAATTTAGGGCTCCAATAATGTAGTTTGGCTCATTGAATAATAAAAATTTTTTATATTCTACTAAAATCCATAGCAGGAGAAGAAATTTCATTTAATGCAATTACAAGATAGATATTAGTTATATATATTATATTTTCTTATTGGATGATTGATTTTTTTTTACATTGAATTCGCTCTAAGATACTTAAGTTTTTCAATATTAACGTATCAATACATCATCCTTCTCTTTCTTTTCGTTTCCGCCCATCTGCGTCCCGTCTTGTCCCATACCACCTCAACGTACACAAATTCAATAATGAAAACTACGATACTCGAAACATAGCTCGTAACTACTAGTAGTTTCACAATTCATATAAATTAAAAAATTTAAATTTAATTTAATTCTTTTATCATAAGCGCACCTCTTTAGCTTTATTCCTATAAGCTTAAAGTAAAATTGATAACAACGTATTCGTTATAACAAAAAAAAAAAAAAAAAAAGTCAAAACAAAAAACAAACTGCGCCAATGATTAATAATGAACGTGTGTATTCAATAATGTATTTAACCATATTATTACAATGAGTATTGATCGTTGTTTATTAGCGAGTAATTCGATATATAAAAAAAAAGAAAGAAAGAAATAAAGAAATAAAGAAAAAAAACACCGACATGTATATGTGTGTGTGTGTGTGTGTGTGTGTGTGTGTGTGTGTGTGTGTGTGTGTATGTCAATAAAATTGTGCACGACTAATAGCTAATATTAATAAGATGCAAAAGTAATATTAAAAGAATATTTCAATGGAGATCGATAGATCGTGCAATTAATGAAAGCGGCACTTGCATTAGCATTCGTCGTGCGATTGATTATAAAAATCGATACTTCGTTACGATCGATCACTCAAGCGAGACGTCACCAAGAACGAGTCTCGCTCAAAGTAAGAGAAAAGCATAATGATGAAAATAACGCACGCACGCACGCACGCACGCACGTAAGCGCACATGCAATGTGCGTGCCCGTACACGTGTGCGTTTGTGCGTTCGCAAGTTTGTGCCACTCACGTGGTAGTGGGCTGAGCGTTGCACCCGTGTGGCTCGCTACCGAAACTTCGTCGTCTCGACTTGGCCCTCCCTCCTCTCCGTCTCCACAACAACCCCTTCTCGAACTCACAGACAAGCTACACTGAACAAGCGGCGCCGAGGCGACGTTGGTGCACGCGCGCCGATTGCCGCCGGCAGCAGCCTCCTCTCCCACGGACGACAAGTGGAGCCGTCGTCGCGGCGAGCAATCGGAAGCGAGAGGAAAATTGGCAGCGGCTATCGCCTATAGCCCCGTGGCATGTGTGCGAAACGAGGATCCCGAGACAACTGGCGAACGCGGGCTACGAGAACGAGGCGATCGGTTGTAAAGCAGATATCTCCGGCAGCTCGCGGTGCGCCACTGACTCTCCTACAGTCCACCACGTTCGCCGCCGAGTGCTGCTCGGTAGTTTCTTGGCTCTCTGACACACTCTTACTCGGCCCGCGCGCTATACGACTCTGCGCTGCCAAAGCATCCACATCCACGACTATACTCCCTTCCCCTTCTCTTTTTTCCACATCTGCTTTTCTCGCTCGTGCTGCTCGCGGAGAAGCGCGCTCGCTCGCTCGCGTATCTCCGACACACGCGCGATCGTTACGCGCGATAAATGAGATGGAAATGTTTGTACGGCCGCTGATTTCCTGTTTCATTCTCCTTGTCGATCATCAGCGCGAGAGAGGCGCACAGTCGGGTGGTTAAGAGGCGACTTACCGGCACCGATCGGTAAGAAGGCCCGAAAGTGGAGCTCCGTGGAAGGATCCCTGCGTCCGGATTAATTGGAATTAACCGGGAGCTCCTGGGGCTCCCGTGCGATAGGCGAGTAGGCGATTATTACGATTGAGCTGCAAAAAGTGTTTGCAGTCGTGAGAGATGCGCGGTTTTGTTGGACGGTTATGTTGTCGATTGATTGACAAGTTTCGTCCCAGGAGAATCCACTCGCTTCCCTTCACTTTACTCCGCCCCTGACGCCAACTGTTATTTGGGTGACAGCTCGTTTTATTATTTATTCTTGGAAGAATCAGGATTCTTCTACCAAGCACTCATGGCTATTGCTTTATTCTGCCATTATAAGAGCGACTTTTTTGTTTTTGTTTTTGTTTTTATGAACAATTAGACATTGATTCAAAAAGCCTCTAATAATATATGCCACGGTTTTCTTAAAATTATAGTACTTGATGTACGTACAATGAAAATATTATTATTGCTTGCTGTTATGTATTTCTAAATGAAATATACTATTTAAGCGCACTTTATTCCATTTTAAAAATGAGTTTAATTGGTTGATAATTATAAAAGTTATTTGTATACAGTCAAAATAAATCATATTGTTATTCAAAAATAAATATGCTTTATTCGTAAATTGAAAAGAGAAAAGATAATGCGCTTGTTAAAATAGATGACTGGGAAATTTTTATAATGCGTTATTATATTTCTATAATGGATTAAGAGTAAAGTGTGCTTTTATATAAAGATGAAAGGTCAGCTTGACAGAACGGAAATCCTGTACGAAGCATAATTTTTCGACTCTTTTCATAATATAATTCGAAATATAAGTACAAAAAGAACTTAAACAAATAAAGCGTAAAATGTTCATTCGATCACATTTATCGAGAAATCGAAAAGTTTTTAAGCTTGGAAATGCATTCGATTACCTTACATTGAACCACCTACTTATGTAAGTAGAAGCAATCCGTTACCATCTAGTATTAATTCTTTGAATGTTACGAGAAAAATTAATTTCAAGTCAATTACATAGGTTAAATATGTTACATAAGCTGAGTTACAAATAATCATTATCAGTGTTTGAGAATAAATGTGTTATTTGTTGTACTGTATAAAATAATGCTTGCAAGTAAAATTAATTATTATCAAATTACAATTTCCCTCGTTAATAAATATTGAATCTGGACAAATGCATACTTTTTCCTTTTGTATCGGTAGAATTTTATAACAGCCGTCGTGCAGTTATGGTTTACAATGCATTAATCGTTTAAAGTGATAAAAATATATATATATATATATATATATATATATATTGAACTTACAATTAATATGATATGAATAATTGTTAATATTGATCATTCCTTGTACTAATTTTAGCCTGCAAACTAATCAAATTATCGATATTCTAGGATATGTAATATTATTTTAATTTTCGAAAAACTACAGTCACCATAATTGAGATGCTTATATCGTTGGAAAAATAAAAAATAAAGGTGCTTTAGTTTTTAAACATTGATTTCATTGATTATAATTTCTTTAGTCGTACATTAATATTAATTACAAATATATTGAGTGCGCAGTTGGTCTGTTTAAATAAAATTTTTTAATTAATTAACACATGTTTATATTACACCACAATCAAATCACAACTTCATTATACAAATTTATTTTTTTGATACTAATTAATTTTTTTACTTTTTTTGCTATAAATTAAATAGTTGTACAATAGTTTTATTTCTACTTTGTATCTTGCATACCGAGGATTTTTCTTTACTTTGCATATTGACGTGCGATAACATTTTAATTTTTATGTACCTAGTAAAAGAAGTTTGCATTAAGATCTTCTGCCTCTGTTTACTTTAGATTATCTTCTTTTAATATTATGATGATTCTTCCCTCTTTTTTGCTGACAAATTAACAGAAGATAGTATAATTTATAAGGATTCGGACGTTTAATAATCAGTTATAAATATGTAATTCATAAATTGTGTTAATTCATCACATTAAATCAGTCATTTAAATCCTTACGAAAATACTGAAAAACGCGTGACCGAGTTAACATTTGTACGAAGATAAAATTATATATGTAAAATGAAAAAATAAATTTCATTCGAAATTTGTTTATATATCAAATATTCAATTATACGATATTTCTGCCTACATTTAAGTTCTTTAATTTTTATCATTTTCAAGATAAATCGTTTAAAAACAGTAGTTCGAGCAAATAAAATGGATAAAAGATGCGCGTTCGTTCAATGAATTTTCTTTATGTAATAAAGCATTTACCCAATTTTCTTTTCCATTTTCACGAGCGTATGAATTTTGAAAAATAATTCTAGAGAATATCTACGGACTTTTCCGACAACGATCTCATGACCGTGACACAATGGCAAATGTTACTTGAATAATTGAGTAGCTGCAAACGACTGTTGGATGATTAACAATTATCAGAAGATGATTCTTAACTATTGTTTAATTTATCATGTATATGTATTTTTCTGATTTCATCTAGTGATTGGTTTGTGTAGTCGTTTTCCACTTCGGATTTTCATTATAATTTTTCTTTTCAATGCATTCTTATCTCGCACATCTTAATTCATCGAATTTTGTCGTAATTTTTTTATCTCGATAGATTGTTTTTCTTTTTAAATTATTTTAAAAATTTTTCTGAATCTAAGAACTCGATACTTGGCAATATTTTTGCATTTAAACAATTGTCTCGAAATTCATTCATGCCATTTACAAAAAAGTACATGATCTTAACATAGTGATTTAAAATTATCTTCATAATACATTGAGACATAACTGAAAATTGTCGAAAATTATACGGCATCGTTCGACTATTAAAAGATTCAAAAAATAATTTTGCCCAATATAATTGGTAAGTAAGTATAATTTTAAGCAATTTATAATGTCTTCTAATATTATAAATTATATATGAAGAATATGCTGCCACCATAATTTAAAATGATAATTCAATTTATTAAAATCCTTTATAATATTAAAAAATTGTAAATTTGTAATCGGATAATATACAATATGAAATTATATTGAATTATATTGAATTATAATGAAACAATAAAATCTATTAATATTTAGTTTATATACATTCAAAAGTCTTAAGAACGATATTATTGCTATATGACTCATTGTTAATAAATTAATGAAAGTAAATATAACTATCAATTAAAATATGTATATTTCGTAATAATGAATTGATATTTTTAAATAACTATTTACTAAAATATCTAAACAATGAATAGATAAACTTTATCGATGAAAAAAAAAATTAAAACGACATTTTTTAACAGAAGTGTTTAATAAATAGTAAAAATAGTGATATGCTATAAAATTTCTTAAAAAAAAATTTTTTAAAAAAAAAAAAAAAAAAAAAAAAAAATTCTTAAAATAGATTTGAAAAATAATCTGCTAGGGGTTTACCACGTCTTTCCAAAATATTATTACATTTATCTAAACATCGCATCAGATTTTTTAATTTTATAGCATAAATACAACTATATAAAGAGTCGCACAACGATAAAAATTTTAAATCGCTGATACAAAGTACTTGACTTCTTTCTTATTAAGATTAAAATTAATGTCGTATTATTTTATTTTCTAAAAAGCTTTATCACTGTTATAATAAATCTCTTAGAGGCATGAGAAAACATTTAATTAAAATAAACGAATCTCTTTACAAAATGTATGTAAAAATCCACTCGAGAAATTAAATATATGGATACCGTGCTTTGTGAAAAAAGTGAGTTTACTGCCGCTTAAAAAGTAAACATCTAGTGCCTCTACCTCGGCGATGCAAAAAAAAAAAAAAAAAGAAAAAAAAAAGAGAGAAGAAGGAAAATATAAGCTTGTTTATATTCGGCGGTACAACAATGGTACAAAATTACCTTGCCCCGGTAAAGCTCGAGGCAATTGTCGTAAAACTTAAGACTTAACCACAATGACACTTTTGCGATAGTTTTCTACCAATGTGACGTCATCTCTCTCATAAGCTCGGCGCAGATAGATAAGCTTTTCCAGCCTTTTACTTTTCTTCGATTTTCATGATTTTGTTTATCTCTTTGAGAATTTTCGAGAGTTTATTTTATTCGGAAGACAATTTCATCTTACGTTTTACTATTGGCAACTTAAAGAATTGAGTTTGACGATGTAGTAAATATAAAAGCCAAAGTCGAAATGGTAAATAAATATCGTACAAGCCTTGATCAAATACATTACATTTTAACAATTTATCTGAACAGATTCTATATCATATGTATATATATAAATATAAATTATCTTATTAGAATTCAAGATCAAACGTATTATATTATTTATGGCATTATTTCAATGAATGTAACAATAATATTCAACAATTGCATGCTACATCGATAAATTCAAAAGTAATATTAATATGACTGGAATACTTGTATTAACTGCAGTTTTTATTGAATATTTGCCCGTAACTCGAGTGCCAACAATACTTATGAAAAGAAAATCAATAGTAGAATCTATATAGTACTTAATCATTACCATATAAAGCTTCATATTACTGAAAATATCGTCGGCTCGATAATATCTTCGGTATTTAAATATTTAAAGAAATTTTTTTCTAAATAAATAAATTATTAAGGAAAGTTCGATCTGCTATAAGATTAGTATGGCAAATAGTAAAATGATACACCCGACTCTAAGCGACTAGCAAATTTATAGAAAAATATTC